CCATAGCTGCCAAATAGGGATCCATTAAACCCCATATAGACCCATAGCTGCCAAATAGGGATCCATTGCTCCCCATAGACCCCCATAGCTGCCAAATAGGGACCCATAGCTGCCAAATAGGGATCCATTGATCCCCATACAGACCCATAGCTGCCAAATAGGGATCCATAGAACCCAATAGACCCCCATAGCTGCCAAATAGTGACCCATAGCTACTAATATAGACCCATAGCTGCCAAATAGGGATCCATTGACCCCAATAGAGACCCATAGCTGCCAAATAGAGATCCATTGCTACTAATAGAGACCCATAGCTGCCAAATAGGGATCCATTGATCCCAATAGAGACCCACAGCTGCCAAATAGGGATCCATTAAGTCCAATACAGACCCATGGCTGCCAAATAAGGATCCATAGCTCCTCATATAGACCCATAGCTGCCAAATATTGAGCCATTGATCCCAATATGGACCCATAGCTGCCAAATATTGAGCCATTCATCCCAATATGGACGAATGGCTGCCAAATAGGGATCCATTCATCCCAATTGAGACCAATGGCTGCCAAATAAAGATCCATTGATTCCAATATGGACCCATGGCTGCCAAATAGGGAGCCATTGATCCCAATAGAGACCCATAGCTGCCAAATATTGATCCATTGATCCCAATATGGACCCATGGCTGCCAAATATTGATCCATTGATCCCAATAGAGACCAATGGCTGCCAAATAAAGATCCATTGGTCCCCATATAGACCCATAGGTGCCAAATATTGAGCCATTGATCCCAATAGAGACCCATAGCTGCCAAATTTGGATCCATTGATCCCAATAGAGACCAATGGCTGCCAAATAGGGATCCATTCATCCCAATATGGATGAATGGCTGCCAAATAGGGATCCATTGATCCCAATAGAGACCCATAGCTGCCAAATAGGGATCCACTGATCCCCATATAGATCCACAGCTGCCAAATATTGCGCCATTGATTTCAATAGAGACCCATAGCTGCCAAATAGGGATCCATTGATCCCAATAGAGACCCATGGCTGCCAAATAGGGATCCATAGCTCCTCATATAGACCCATAGCTGCCAAATAGGGATCCATTAAACCCCATAGACCCCCATAGCTGCCAAATAGGGATCCATTGATCCCCATATAGACCCATAGCTGCCAAATAGGGATCCATTAAACCCCATAGACCCCCATAGCTGCCAAATAGGGATCCATAGCTCCTCACATAACCCAGAGACCCATCGCTGCCAAATACTGATCCATCAGACCCCATACGGACCCAAAGCTGCCAAATACGGATCCGCTGGCTACCAACCTTTCCTTTTTGGCTACCAACCCCCCCCCCAAAGCCTTTCCTCACCTCCTTCCCAGTGCTGTAAGCCACCACCAGCAGCAGCTCCTCGTCGCAAACGCTCTTCAAATAATGTTGTGTCCCGACAGGGAAAAATATCACGTCTCCTATCGCGACATCGAACGTCACCGACTTCCCAGATTCCATCACCAAACCGGCCTGGATTAACAAAGCCATTAATTAACGGAGTTAACGACTTGGGGGTTTAAGGCATAAAAAGTCCAGAGATGCCAAATAGGGAGCCATTAAAAGCAATAGAGACCTGCAGCTGCCAAATAGGGAGCCATAGATTCTAATAGAGGCCAATGGCTGCCAAATAGGGAGCCATTAAAACCAATAGAGACCCACAGCTGCCAAATAGGGAGCCATTAAAATCAATAGAGACGCACAGCTGCCAAATAGGGAGCCATTAAAACCAATAGAGCCCCACAGCTGCCAAATAGGGAGCCAGAGATTCTAATTGTGGCCAATGGCTGCCAAATAGTGAGCCATTAAACCCAATAGAGACCCACAGCTGCCAAATAGGGAGCCATAGATCCTAATAGAGGCCAATGGCTGCCAAATAGTGAGCCATTAAAACCAATAGACCCCCATAGCTGCCAAATAGGGAGCCATTAAAACCAATAGAGACCTGCAGCTGCCAAATAGGGAGCCATTAAAAGCAATAGAGACCGACAGCTGCCAAATAGGGAGCCATTAAAACCAATAGAGACCGACAGCTGCCAAATAGGGAGCCATTAAAACCAATAGAGCCCCACAGCTGCCAAATAGGGATCCATTAAACCCCATATCCTGCCAAATAGGGATCCATTCCACCCCCATATCCTGCCAAATAGGGATCCACTCCACCCCCATATCCTGCCAAATAGGGATCCATTCCACCCCCATATCCTGCCAAATAAGGATCCATTCCACCCCCATATCCTGCCAAATAGGGATCCATTAAACCCCCATATCCTGCCAAATAAGGATCCATTACACCCCATAGGGCCCCATAGCTGCCAAATAGGGATCCATTCACTCCTATAGACCCCCACAGCTGCCAAATAGGGATCCATTCCACCCCATATCCTGCCAAATAGGGATCCATTAAACCCCATATCCTGCCAAATAGGGATCCATTCCACCCCATATCCTGCCAAATAGGGATCCATTGACTCCTATAGACCCCCACAGCTGCCAAATAGGGATCCATTAAACCCCATATCCTGCCAAATAGGGATCCATTCCACCCCCGTATCCTGCCAAATAGGGATCCATTAAACCCCATAGAGCCCCATAGCTGCCAAATAGGGATCCATTGACTCCAATGGACCCCCACAGCTGCCAAATAGGGATCCATTACACCCCATATCCTGCCAAATAGG